CCCCCCCGCCCTTTGTTCCCGGGCTCCGGGGAGCCGTCCGCGCCAGGCACTTTCAGGGGATGCAAGGCCTTGGGCGAAGGGAGCCGGCAGAGGCATGGGGAGACGGCGTCGCTTTGTGAGCAGCTTTGCGCCGGCCCGGTGGGACAGGAGCGTAACGGGAGCGTGCCGTGCCGTAAAGGCACGGGAAGGCAGGTGCTGGGCAGTGTGCTTTGTTTAACGCGCTCTGGGGCCTGGGCCTGCCTCGAGTCTGATGAAACCGGCTGATGTAGCCACTTTGAGGTTTCCATAGCAACCTCTCCTGCGTTTTCTGGTGTTGATTCCCTTTAATCTCCCAGTGTTGCCCTTGTTCGGATCTGTAGTTCTGAAGTTCACAAAGGAGAACGTGCGTGGCTGATTCAATATGGAAGTAACCCTACGGTATCTCGCCTTGCCTGTGAGGCAGGGGCGTTTGCCCGCAAAAACTATGGTTCAAAGTCTGTCATAGTTTCCTTTATTTTTCTGTCACGTGAACAGGAAGGGGAAGCCTTTCCGTTAAATTGCGTGGGAAAATCAACTGGTTAAAAAAGGTTAGCATGTAGCTAACGTGCTTGAAGAAAAGGAAATCGGTCTTGAGGAGGGCAACGCAAATTTGCGATCGAGTTTTCTGACAAGATTGGAAAAGTCTCTCCTCTTGATAAAGCGAGTTATGTTCTGGACTAGAGGCAGGTCAGAAAAGCGGATCTCTCCGTGCAGCGTGACCACGTGAAAAAGTCAGGCGACTGGTAAAGGTTGGGAGGAATGAGAAATTGTTACTCCCTGTGCTCCCAACTGTTGTTAGGTGTATTTGTGTAAGAGCCTTTGTAAAGCCTATCCCCACAGGTAGAATTGTGACTTTGGCTCCTTTGGGAACGTTTGTGCAGCAGTTTATCCAGCATACCTTCTGTAGCTCTTAAATTCTCTGTATTTTCATTTGTCCCGGTGTCATAATGATAACTTGTTTGGATGAGATCGAGAAATTGGATCTTTGAGGACGGTAACTTTGAAAGAAATGCTTGGATTTGTTATGTGTTGTCTGCACGGTACCTGTCTTTTTTTGGGAGAAGTCCTTTTCAGTTACAAGGCACGTAAGTTGTGCCTGTGAGATATAGCCGTTTGAATAAAGGATGCAGAACTTGAAGGAGCGTCCCCTGTAGTTTGACCAAAGGAGGGCTTAACTTTTCGGCAGGTATGGGGTGGTTCAGTTTTGGACTTTTGTCTTCCCGCTTGAAGTAGATAGCATCATCAGGCATCTTGAGGTCAGAATGGTTAACAAGGCTTGTTACGCAGTCATACTTGAAAGTAACTGCATGAGATGGAAACAAATCTTAATTGCGTAGGTCAAGCACTGTGTTCTTGAAGTTCTGTTAGTCCTTAATTGTAGCAGAGCTGTAACCTTTACGAAAGGGTTCGATCAAATGAACTCCTTCAAAGTGTAGAGCGAAGGCCGTGATTATTTCTGCGTAAGGGTCGCCTCCAGCGTTAGAGAGTGCAGAATGACCAGAACGAGAAATTTGCAAGTTGTGAGATGCTTTCTTGTTTCTTTTCCAGCATCGGAATGGGAATGCTTTTGTTTCACTGCTGTCAAGTGTTGTAGGGCAGAGAATATTTAAAAACATTATCCCCTGCTTCTTTTGAAAAGGGTACAAAGTCACCTGAGACCAGGTTATGTGGATTTAGAGCACAGACTGTTGCAGGCTTTGTAAAGAAAGCCATAGCCAGTACTAGCAGGTCCCAGTACCGTGTACGTTGGCCGTGTGGGAACGGCGAGTTTTCTGAGTGGCTGTCTTGATTGCCTGTTCAAGAGCTATCTTTACCGTCGTCTGGGCATGCTGTCTCATTGCGTGCTGTCTCAGGACGGCTGGGCACTAACGGAGCTCTCTTTTCGTAGAGTTCGGTGCAAATCACATTTGAAGAGGGTCCTCAGTTACCACCGGCCACAAATATAAGTCGTGTGACGTGTGAGGGACAGTCGGACCGCAGCATGGTAAGGCCTTGCCGTTCTGAGCCGTAGGACGTGGGGTTTCTCCGTCGGCACGTTCTACGAAGCCTGCCGAGGCGGACAGCAAAACCGGGAAGTTTTGGGCAAAGTCCGCTGTTGAGTTCAGAGGCCTGTCAACGAGCTCGCGACATCGCGGCTCCAGGGCTGCGCATCTGCGAGCTCTGGGAGAGCCCCGGGGGGGAGGTGTGTGGACAGAGCTGGGGCGTAGGGGTGCTGAGCCTGAACATTGGGGTCCTACAGTGGAGAGGAGAAGAGATCTCCTGTCGCCGATACGCCTTTGCTGCCTCGCGTACAGAGCCTGAAACAGCAGATTTGCAGTGCGGAACTGGGTCCGCTAGTAAGCCTCCTGTTTTTTGTCCCGCCATGACAGGTCAACCTTGCCCGTCGATTTTAGATGTTTTGCCATCGCAAGGCTGCCTCTTTCTGCAGATATAACCTCTTCTCCTTTCTCTTCTCTCTAGGTGCTGTGCTGCCATCTGTCAGCTGAAGCTGTGAAATTCCCCGTCTCTGTTACTCAGCAGTCCCCGGTTTCTGTTTCTGTGGACACCTATCACGTCTCTTTAGCTGTGCTGCAGGCTCAGGTAAGAGTTGTAAAAAGAGTTAGCTGTCAAACTTGTTCTTTCCCCCAGCCCCACGCCAGTTGAAGAGGGAGGACCCGATATAGCGCAAGCAAAGGCAGCGTCATACCGGAATAAGCGGTGCGCTGTTGCTAACGTTCAG